TTGTATAATGTATTGATGGAATTTGTAGTTCTCTATAGCTGATGGTATTCTGCATTGCTGTATAATGTATTGCTGAGATTTGTAGTCCTCTTTAGGCTGTGCCATTCTGAATTGCTCTATAATGTGTTGCTGGGATTTGTAGTCCTCTATAGCTGATGCTAGTGCTAGTGCTAGCTGATGCTAGTTTTCTGAATTGCTGTATAATGTATTTCTGGGATTTGTAGTCCTCTATAGTTGGTGGCATTATTCGGTATAATGTACTGCTGGGATTTGTAGTCATCCACAGCTGGAGTCAGTGGCAGAACTACCAGGGTGCAGTGTTTGCAGCTGGGATCGAGCCCTGGCATATCTTTAAATGTGTGTTTTGGATTGTGTGCAACTTTTACAGATATCAAATTGTAATATTTAATCATTAAGTTGGAAATTAACTATTCTTAAAAAAATTGTTTAGCTCTTAAGACATGACTTCCTAAAGAATTCTGCAGTAATTGAGTCTGTCTATTTAGATGGCTTCAACTGATATGACAGGTTTGATGCAGTGGCCATTAGGAAACTAATAAACAGAGTAAACTGATAGTGTTGGTTCAGTCATTTGGGGTTATCTAATCTGATTTTTTATTTCTGCTATATAATGAAATGAAAGACTAAAAAGGGCAACCTGTAAAACGTAAACATTTTGTAGCCACTAATATGACATTCCTTTGTTTTCAAAAGCACTATGCATTTTAATAAATACAGGATTATTCTATATACCTGTCACCTGCATCTTTTGTTCTGTTACATAAATACTTGTGAAGATAGAGGAAGTTAACGTATGTTTCATTTCATTTTAATATAATAATAAAACACTTTGGTATCTCCATAATTAATAGTTTTGCTGTGCTGTTGTTCTCTGTAAATGCTAATCCATTTGGGAAATTTAACCATGATGAGACCCTAGAGAATGTGCCTAGAATCTTTAATTATGGCTCTAATTCACACAACTTATCCTCTTTGTACCTATTACTATAATTATTCTTTATTAAAAATAAAAGTAGATTAGTATCAAGATAAGTACATATTATGTTGAGCTTTATAAAATCCATGATTACAAATGAATGACAAGAAAACAACTGGCTCAGTTGGTGAGGGGGGTGTATAAGAAGTCAGCCTTGATTATGGAACTGCAAGTGTTGAATTCATTAATATAGTTTCAACATATTTTATATCACACTACAGAGAACACAGAACTATTCATATCAGTCCCCTGAAGCATCTTACTAGCCAAGAACCATACCATTGGTGAATAAAGTCATCTAGGGGGCTTTATGTGCCTGGTCAACTATCGGCCAAGTAAAAACACGTTCACTGTGTGTCCAGGTCTACATGACAGTGGGAGAGGACCAAGCACTGACATCTAATTAAAACACTGTGGGGGGAATCTCTAAACTGAAAGTGAATATTGCAGAAAATGCTGATTTGTTAGTTTATATTTTAATTAGCTATTTGTTTTGTTATTTTGGCTGCAGCTCTGCTTGAAGGCTTATATATTTAAATACATCAGTGTGCTCTGTTTTACCACTAAATATATAATTTGAAAGTTAAAGATCAAAAGGCAAAGTAAAATGGGGGAAAGTAGCCAGGCTGGAGAAAAATATAACAAAATGTGGCAAAAGAAAAAAAAAGAAAAGTCGTATATTGCAGAACAAGCACAAAATATTAATGTCAATAATGCGTGTCAAGCAAGATACTTCAGCTCTGATATCCACACAGGATATCCATTTTAACATCTCTACACCAGTGGTTTGAAAAAAATTTATTTATATACATATGT